TGATTTGCAAAGAGATTTCTGTGTGTTAATTTTATATCCTGCAACTTTACTGTATTCGTTGATTAGCTCTAGTAATTTTCTGGTAGAGTCTTTAGGATTTTCTATGTAGAGGATCATGTCATCTGCAAACAGCGAGAGTTTCACTTCTTCTTTTCCTATCTGGATTCCTTTTACTTCTTTTTCTGCTCTGATTGCTGTGGCCAAAACTTCCAAAACTATGTTGAATAGTAGTGGTGAGAGTGGGCACCCTTGTCTTGTTCCTGATTTCAGGGGAAATGCTTTCAATTTTTCACCATTGGGTGATGCTTGCTGTGGGTTTGTCATATATAGCTTTTATTATGTTGAGGTATATTCCTTCTATTCCTGCTTTCTGGAGAGATTTAATCATAAATGGATGTTGAATTTTGTCAAAGGCTTTTTCTGCATCTATTGAGATAATCATATGGTTTTTATCTTTCAATTTGTTAATGTGGTGTATCACATTGATTGATTTGCGGATATTAAAGAATCCTTGCATTCCTGGGATAAAGCCCACTTGGTCATGATGTATGATTTTTTAATATGTTCTTGGATTCTGTTTGATAGAATTTTGTTAAGGATTTTTGCATCTATGTTCATCAGTGATATTGGCCTGTAGTTTTCTTTTTTTGTGGCATCTTTGTCTGGTTTTGGAATTAGGGTGATGGTGGCCTCATAGAATGAGTTTGGAAGTTTACCTTCTTCTGCAATTTTCTGGAAGAGTTTGAGTAAGATAGGTGTTAGCTCTTCTCTAAATTTTTGGTAGACTTCAGCTGTGAAGCCATCTGGTCCTGGGCTTTTGTTTGCTGGAAGATTTCTGATTACACTTTCGATTTCTTTGCTTGTGATGGTTTTGTTAAGATCTTCTATTTCTTCCTGGTTCAGTTTTGGAAAGTTATACTTCTCTAAGAACTTGTCCATTTCTTCCAAGTTGTCCATTTTATTGGCATAGAGCTGCTGGTAGTAGTCTCTTATGATCCTTTGTATTTCAGTGTTGTCTGTTGTGATCTCTCCATTTTCGTTTCTAATTTTGTTAATTTGGTTCTTCTCCCTTTGTTTCTTAATGAGTCTTGCTAATGGTTTGTCAATTTTGTTTATTTTTTCAAAAAACCAGCTTTTAGCTTTGTTAATTTTTGCTATGATCTCTTTCGTTTCTTTTGCATTTATTTCTGCCCTAATTTTTAAGATTTCTTTCCTTCTACTAACCCTGGGGTTCTTCATGTCTTCCTCCTCTAGTTGCTTTAGGTGTAGAGTTAGGTTATTTATTTGACTTTTTTCTTGTTTCTTGAGGTAGGCCTGTAATGCTATGAATCTTCCCCTTAGCACTGCCTTTACAGTGTCCCATAGGTTTTGGGTTGTTGTGTTTTCATTTTCATTCATTTCTATGCATATTTTTCTTTCTTTTTTGATTTCTTCTATGATTTGTTGGTTATTCAGAAGCGTGTTGTTTAGCCTCCATATGTTTGAATTTTTAATAATTTTTTTCCTGTAATTAAGATCTAATCTTACTGCACTGTGGTCAGAAAAGATGACTGGAATGATTTCAGTCTTTTTGAATTTACCAAGACTAGATTTATGGCCCAGGATGTGATCTATTCTGGAGAAGGTTCCGTGTGCACTTGAGAAAAAGGTGAAGTTGATTGTTTTGGGGTGAAACGTCCTATAGATGTCAATTAGGTCTAGCTGGTCCATTGTGTCCTTTAAAGTTTGTGCTTCCTTGTTCATTTTCTGTTTAGTTGATCTATCCATAGTTGTGAGTGGGGTATTAAAGTCTCCTACTATTATTGTGTTACTATTAACTTCCTCTTTCATACTCGTTAGCGTTTGCCTTACATATTGCGGTGCTCCTATGTTGGGTGCATATATATTTATAATTGTTATATCTTCTTCTTGGATTGATCCTTTGATCATTATGTAGTGTCCATCTTTGTCTCTTTTCACAGTCTTTATTTGAAAGTCTATTTTATCTGATATGAGTATTGCGACTCCTGCTTTCTTTTGGTCTCCGTTTGTGTGGAATAAATTGTGAAACATTTTAATTGTCTGATTCATTAGGAAAAAATGTCACACACTTTAATCACCCCAGTGAGAACAAAGCTTCAGACAGTTGATACTGAGACACTTTGGGCTTTCTTCTTTCTTTTTTAAAAGAAATTTCATTTAGTTAGGCCATTCCCTATCTTCTTGGCTTACCAGCTTATAAACAGCACAGCAACAAGGCAGAATCCTATATGCATTAAAACCCATTTCCCCTTTATCATCTTTGGTGAGAAGACTCATGAAAGGACACTGAGAGCTGATAAAGCATATCAGGCTACATGTGTTTCTACCTCACACATCACCGACTGGAAGGCTTGCATTATCCAAGTCCACAGGGTCATAATTTTGTTTCTGAGGATCATTTTTCTTTAAGGTTTTAGCAGAGCTTGTTCAGTTACTTTGGAAGCTTATTCTCTTGGAGAGATAGTGTAGACCTTGAAGTTTCATGGCTTGAACTTGGCAAGAGATTCATAAAATCCTAACCTCTCCATGGTAAAACTTGAGATCAGAGTAGAGTTGCTGCAAGAGGCTGTGGAATGTGGGGTGGCTGCTGCACACTGGCAGAGCAGAGACCGTGTTTAGATTTGGAAAGACTGTTGGAATGTTCCTGCAAAGAGGAGTGGTGGTCAGACACAGGCAATCATTAGCAATAAGATTAGTAACTGAATGTGAGACATTACTCTAGGGGATGCTGATCTGCCAGGTCCCCGCTGTACTACAATGGCACCTGAGGCTGCTTTAATCCCACTGTGCATTTCTTCAGGGCTATCAGCCTGCACATAGAAAGTTCCAGAGGATGTTACAATTTCAAAGAGGTAGTCTCTTGTCATTATGTCACTTGGTTTATGTTCCTGGACTTTATGAACCTCTTTAAGTGGTATTACATGGAGAGGTTCCTTTTCCAGTTCAGATCTAAAGTAATCTGTTGTGTTTTTATCCAGTTGAAAATGTCTTCTCTTCCATTTTTCATCACTGTTCCTTGTTTTACACAATATCCAGCTTTGATAACTGCAGTATCTGAAGGTGGTTTAGGAGTAAAGTAAGGAAGACAGATTTGTGACCGCTTCAAATTATTTCTGTCAATAGTTTCACCACATTCACTTGCTTCTTTTTGAGTTGCAGTAATGATGGCCACTCTACCAACAGTGTCAGTTCTGTAAGACATTTGCTTCTTCCCATATTTACCTTGGTGACCTGTTATCAGAATGAGGCTGTGATACTGACTGCTTTGATATTGTAACTTTTACAGCTTTGTTTAACACATTTATCCATTCTACTAGGTCCTGCTGATCATTGGCTTATAGGAAATAGTTCCTCATCCCTGCATTCATAACTTTGAAATGTAGGCAAATTAGAGAACTTCCCTGTTGCTCAGACAGTAAAGAATCCTCCTGTAATGGGGGAGAACCAGGTTCGATTCCTGGGGCAGGAAGATCCCCTGTAGAAGGGAATGGCTACCCACCCACTCCAGTATTCTTGCCTGGAGAATGCCATGGACTGAGAAGCCTGGCAGGGTATAATCCATCTGATCACAAAGAGCCAGACACACTTACCACTTTCACTTTTTTTTTAATGGCTCCACAATTCTCAATCCAGAAGGTAGGTTCTGTGGAGTATCCATGTATCATACAAAACTATCTCCTCTAGTATCCAGTATGAAGTACTTCCAAAGAAATTTCCCACTCTATTCATTTTCTTTAATGTCTGTAAAACCACAAATGAGATTCTGATGATCCACGTAAGTCATTTTTAAACTTGACCAGCGCTCGTTGGTCCCTCGAACCTCACAGCTCACTTCAACCGGTGCCGTGTTTGCAGAACCTGCCCCACCAACCCTGCCCAGGCCCTAGGGTCCCACAGGCACTGAGTTGCCTGAAGCAGGCTGTTTTTCCATTTACCATTACCATTGGACTTGGAAGCGCAGAGGGGCAATACAATGATAAGGGGCATACAATGACCATGGCTCCAGCTCTTGGTCAAAGCTTTTTGCAATTCACTCTGCCTCTGAAAATTCTATTCTTCATTTACATCTTAATTCAAACAGCAGTTCTCTTATTTCCAGCTGCTGTTAACAGAAATGAAAAACCTAGATCCTTCTCCTTAACTCCTTAAATGAACACAACACAGGTTTTTTACAGGTAACAAAAATTTACTGATATCTGGGGGAAACGGGTGTGTTTTATCCATCCCAGAATAGGAAATACAAAAAGTAAAATGTTAGACTCCTTAAAACTCCATCAGCCACCCATTTCCCTGGAAATTTTTGGCTGGCCAACTTTTCTGATTTGATAGTGTCCATCCTCCAAAATAGAACTGGGGACCAACCGTCACTCTCTGGGTTCTATTTAACAAACTCAAACTGGATAAAGTAACACCACCAGGCTTCCCTGGGGGCTTAGCCTTAAAGAATCCACCTGCCAATGGAGAAAATCTGAGTTCAATCCTTGGGTCAGGGATATCTCTTGACGAAGGAAACGGCAATCCATTCCAGTATTTTTTGCCTGGGAAGTCTGGTGAACAGAGGAGCCTGGTGGGCTTCAGTCCATAGGGTCACAAAAGAGTTAGACACAACTTAGAGACTAAACAACAACAAAAACACGACATTAGTCTGCAGAGTAATTCAACCTCTCATCATTTAGCATATCCAAACAGTATAAAAACTTCATGAAATATTTTCCGTTACTAAAAGAAAAACAACGTCCCATAGTAAACTTCAGGCTACCCCCAAACCAGCTCAGAGAGTCAACTTTTGTAATCTATTACCTGAGCACATGGCATGAACTGAAAATTCTCATAACCACAAGCCCAAGAGCTTGTCTCCAGAGCAGGAGTGCGAGACCCCCAACCAACCCGGCTACACCTCAGAGGCCTCTGTCACAAGGGGTCTGAAGCTCCAGGAAGAGCCACAGTGAGGGTCCAAGACAGTGACAGGCCCTAGGGGGACACAGCCTCAGGACTGCAAGGGAGCAGTGGAGACTCGGGCCCGGAGAGACCTTCAGCACCAGAGCCTGAGCTGAACCCCGCCCCTGGGAGGTTCACAGGCTCCTCCAGAGAAGGATTGCTAAGGGCAGCAGGGAGCCCCTCAGACCCTCCCACCTTGGAGCACACGGTCAGGGACACGTCTCCTGATCTAATCATGAAGTATGGAAAGAGGGTCCCAGAGAAGGAAGCCTGAGGGAAGGAGAAAATGTGGGAGCCATCAGCCATGTTGTAGAAGGAGACGTCCCCTTCCTGGTAATCCAGAAACACTCCCACCCTAAGCCTGGGGTGGGGAGCCTGCATGAGGGACAGCAGAGTCTGCTCTGCAGTACAGGAACAGTATCCTTTTTCAAATCTCCCCACAGCCCAGATACCCTTTTCTGGGGACTCGACGTACCAGCCTTTCCTGTTCACACCTTCCCTACAGACCCCCAGGGCCCACTCGCTTTGGCCTCCATCCCTGATCTCCACCTCCCAGTAACAGCGCCCTGATGTGATGCCCTCAAAACCCAGTACACTGCAGGTATCTGCAGAGTTAGAAGAGACCTTCAAGGTCACACGTGTCTTTTCATGAGAGATGACAAGGTCTGAATGAGCAGATCCTGGATCCAGAGTGACAGGCCCTGCAGAGAAAATTATCTATCATTCAAGGTCCTCCCCTCCCCAAGAACACACAACCACCCCTCAACCCGGAATCCCAGCTGCATGGGAGGAAGGCTAAGCACCCTGAAAATAGGAACTTGTGATTCAAGTCAATGGGCCTCCAAGCAGGAAAAGGACCCACAAGACTGATTTCACGGTGCGATATGTCACAGAGCCCTTGAGGACCAGCCTGCTCTCCAAGGGCTGAAGGATGTCTATTTAGCATTCAATATCAGCCAAAGTCATCAGCCCCACCCCCCCACCCCCGTGTGTGACTATCACCACCACATCCCACCCCACACTATTGATGGTGCCAGCATCTATATCACCACTGAGAACTGAAGGAGAGGCCACAGGGACAGCAGTAGGAAAATCCAGAAAAAACAGTCACTCACATTCCTGGAACTCCTCCTTCCGCCAATCTACAAGGAAAACACACGTTTCATATCAGGGGTTTATAGAGACTGTACATATCAAGGTCAGTGCTTAGTATCATGAAGCATAATTTTGAGAGAGTTATGGGGGAAATGTTTTGGAAATATTCAACTGATGCATGTATTTCTTTTCACAAACACATAGAGAACCATCATGTTGCAACCTTACCAGGAAGCCAAAGACATAAATCTTAATACTGAGGGGTTAAGAGGCTTGATATCAATCTGAACGTAAAGGTCATTGCCCAAACTTCACTATACAATAACATTTTCTCAAGTCCTTAGCCACACATTCTTAAAACTAGGTTTTCTTGAGAAAGAATTGGGGAGATCAAAATTTCCAAGGTTCTTAAGCAATTATGAAGAGCTAATTGAACTGAGCATGCAGGTTACCTCTAAGCCAGGAGTAGAGAGAATACAACTTAGCTGAACGGAACTCAGAGAATGACTATAAGTCATTAGTGAAGAAAATCTGGGATACAGCATCAGAGAAATCTTGCTTAGTTAGGAGGCAATGGAGAGATTTCAAGGAAAGGAGAGAGATGTTTGAAGTGAGACAGACAGACATACAGTGAGAGGAAAGAAACTCATGAATTCTCTCCTGCTTTTCGCAGTGTTAGTGGAACAAAAACATTTCTACCTGTGAAGGAAAACCCAAAATATTGGATCTAGTCATATGCTTCCCCCTATAATTGCCCAGAGAGGTTGTAAGATTCCAGGAGAACCACAACAAGAGGACCCCAAAGATGTCCATGTTCTAAACCTCAGACTGTGTGAATACATTGTGGTAAAGGGAACTTTACAGATGTGATTAAGAACCTTACGATGTGACCAAGGGTCAGGGGGAAATAACCCAAATACCTAGCCAAGACCGGCTGATCCTCGGCCAGCCACAAACCAAGAATCTTAAGGACCAGATCAGACTAGTGTCCCCAGGGCAATGGCCAGATATGACTAAAGAAGAACATAAGCATCCCTTCCCCAACTGACCCAAGGCCAAAATAATTTCTTCCAACCTCCATACTCGCTTTTGGGGAAAAGAAAGGAAGCTCAACAACCAAAGCAAAGCAAAGCCTATATGTCATAAGATGATGAAATGTCTGCACTGAGAGAGCTATTGCCTCCAACATGGTGGAAAATCAGGAACAAGATTAGAACTTTTATGGAAATTAGTAAATGGCTCTTTTTTTTGCAGTTTTGCAGTGTAAATTTATTACACCATTCCTACTTAATACAGATTCATGCTGAAATTGACATTCCTTTTATTTGCCTGATGGAAATAAGATCACATAAAGTGGCCTAACCCTTGTGACCCTTTGAGAAAAAATGGACTTTAACTTATTTGTTCTTCACCAAGACACTAGTTGATCCCTAGCTGTAAATATCTATAACACAAGAAAAAGAGGGGGGAGAAAAAAAGAGAGATGGCATTTAATTGTGAGACTCCACATGTATCAAGTGTGATGCTATTCTTCTCTTAATTGCTACACCAAATCATTAATACAATTTTTTCCAATCTTATGAATAAAAAAAGATCTAACATTTGACCACCTCCCACTTGACACTTGTCAATATGAAAATGTTGATTCTAGCTTAATGGTGTTTATCCTTACAAAACAGAAGGTTGCACAAGGTATACATTAAAACACACACTTTTTAATCTAGTAGGTAAGGGAGAGAGAGTAAAAGAGGACTGTCTGATCCTGATGTTTAACATAAATCCCAAGGTGAATCAGTAAGAATCCCTAAGGTGGAATCCTAAATCCTCACGCCTCTGGCTCCCAGGCATTTTCACCCTTGGTTTACCCTTCTCTGTCTCTCACGATCTATATTCCTGTCTGTAAACCGAAACATTCCAATCAAAGAGAGGGCAGGCTGCACAGGTTTACAGGGTATAGATCTTTAACTCACCCCAAAGCTAAAGGGTTCTCAGAACAACCTTACATTACATTAGGATGCCCCATACCACACTCCTGCCCTAACCACTACAGGAAGGTTGAGATGCCTCATTATCAGAGGCAGACTGAATTACATGGTTATTTTTAAATGGCTTAAAAACAAATATGACTTTATTGACATTTCTTAAAGACATATCAAGGAGTTGATCACACTTTATGCACCCAAATAACTTGCACACCTTCTGTGTGCTCCCCAACAGACCACCATGGCTGTGACTTGTGGTCTCTCTTCCACCACTACAAGCCACTCCATCTCTACAAGACAAATCTCAGACATGGCACTTCCTCCTCATCTCCTCCTCTCTTCTTCCTTCTGGTCTTGTCTTCCCTGATTTGCTTCCCACCATTTCTCTGTGAAATGATTTTGTCTCCTCTACATTTCTTCTTTCCCAGTCTTCATCCATGGCCCCTAATAAACCCAACCAGGAATGAAATCATCAGCAAATACAGAATTCTCTGAAAAGGAAGATCATGGTTGTTACATTTGTGTCCCTGTCACACAAACATATACAGAAGATTTTGAATAGAATTTAAGAACCTTCATAGACCCTCATGCAAGGAGCCCGTAAACATCCCATAGTTTTTGGACCCCAGATTCAGAATACCTGCTCTACAGCAACTAATTCCTCAGCAACCAAGAGGCTTGGAGGATGAAACCCAGCCTGGACACAGAGTCAGAGCCTGAGGTAGAGAGAATATCAATATCTCACAGGACCAGGAGAAAATGGGAAAAACAAAACTAGAGCCAAAAAGGGTAGGAATTTTGAAACAAGACGGATCAGGAATCAAGGGCCACCTTGGGAAGAACTGAGTCCTAAGTAGGCAAGCGTGACTTCTGAAATCTTCCAGAGATGAGCGATTCCTGATCCACACAGTCGTTCCCTGCTGCCGTCCCTCCTCACCACTGACCCCTCCAATGTCACTGTCACAAAGAGAAGTCCCAGTTGCACCAGGTGTTGAGGAGGGTGCTGCTAACCCTGACAGTGCCCTGCAGTAGAGGACAGGCAGGATGGAGGCACATCTGTGTTTTGAGGAGTCCCTGCAGTCTCCAGTTGGAGGCTGCAAATGTGACAAGAAGACCAAGAACATCTACCCCACCCTGGTGTGGGGTCCCCTCATGCAGAAGGGGTCAGAGTCTAGATTGGAGAGGGGAGGCCACAGGAACTCAGATCCACTTACCTGCATATAGCTGGGCCTTCCTCCAGGCTGAAAGGGAACAAACACACTCTGGTGAGACTTTAGCCAGAAGAAACCTGCTCAGTGTGAATCTATTGACCCTTGCCTCCCCTCTGCTCTGCAGGTGAGACTAAGTACAGTGGGGGAGAGGCTGGAGAGGAGGTGACCTCCTGCCAGGTGCAGACAGCCAGTGTGGTTGGGAATCCCCTGGAGCACAGGTCAGGTGGCCTGCGCACACTCCATACTGACTTGCACCACTGTCCCACTGCTGCGTGTGACGTTTGGCTTAGATATTAGCTAAGTCGCTTAGCTATTCTTGCCTCAAAACCCTCAAAAATTCTTATTCTATCTACTTTCACTTTTGCTGCTAAGGGTCAAAAATTCTACTAGGTGTGAAAACATTTTAGGGAGTAAAATATAAATTAATATATAATTTTAAGAAAGCATTATCATATTCAGTTTTTTTCCTGGAAAAATACATTTGGGAAATAACTTGACATGGGAAGTATTTTAAGAAGTAAGATGACCTGGGAACTATTTTAAGAAGTGAGATGAGCTCTGGGTAAAAGTGGCTAATCTTTCTCAGATGAAATATTTCTAGAGATAAACACTATTCAGGGGTATTGACAGCTCATTCCATGGCGTTTCTGTGCATGGTCACCTCAGTTCCACACCATAAATTTTTGATCATCACCCAAAGAAACTAGAGGGAATGGACTCCTGGGACAGTGTTTTGGATGGAGACAGGAGGTCACACTCCTAAACTTAATCAAGCTGGTTATTTGTATAGCTCCTTTAATGAAATCTCACAGCACATGACTTTTGCTTCTGGGTACTGACTGAAAACCATATGCAGAAGAATAGTAAGCTATTAATACGGTGGGTCAGTCAGGGTTGGAATAAGACCCAGGGTGCATGATGGACTCTGGGGTCATCATTACACCAAGGATCCCAAGAAATGGGTGGGAACCAGCAGTCCAGATCTGGGAGAGCCCATGCATGGGTTCTGCCTCCTAGAAGCCTCCACTTCTGTCCCAGGGAAGCAGGTTCACATTTCTATGCCTAGACAGAATGGAGGAGAGGGACGCCTTGGCACAGGTAAGACAGGAAACCCAAGGACACTGGAGAGTCACTCACCAGCGAGATAAGCAGATTTCCTCCTCTCTGAAAGACAAAACACAGGAAACAGGTGAGCTAAGAACCAGACTGTCTCCTATGAAGGGAAGGCAGAGAGCTCAAGAGGAAAAGCAGAACTTACCAAGTTCTTCCTGAAGTTTAGCTGAAAGAGAGTGAAAACAAAAAAAGCATGAACTCCAATCCCTAAGAAAAAGAAGCCACAAAACACCACCTCTCTGTGTGTAACCTCTGGGGAAGATGTTCCAACTACAGACCCATCAGAGCCTCCATGGCTCCCGCTGTCCACCCAGGTCTCCCCAGCCACCTGCTCCGGACTGGGATGTCCCCAGAGCCCTGGACTCAGGCCCTGTGGTCAGTTCCTCCCTCTCAGCACCAGCTGCCACATTCACCAGCCTTGACCCATCCTGCCTTACCTGCGTCCTTGAGCACTTCCTCCTTTGTCTGATGGTCCTGCTCTCTAGTCTGGCACAGAGTCTCCTTTTCTCGCACCTCCTGCACCTTCGAGGAATGTTCTCTCTTGGTGTACCATCCAGCCCCAAGGAGCAAGATCACCAGCACAGTCAGGCTCACCGAGAAAGCCACCTTCCAGGGAGAGGCCTGGGGGAAGAAGGGCTCTGTGGCCCAGGCAGACACCCTGTCAGGGCCACAGCCCAGGAGAGCTCAGCCCGGAACACCCAGGAACACCTGGCCCCACCTCCAGCCCTGCTGGAAGCTGGGAGCACCTCTAACCTGGGATGAAAATGGCCATGGCCTTCTCCTGGCCCAGGACAGGGTTGAGGATGGAGCAGGTCACGTTCCCCACAGAGCTGTCTCTCACCACCAGAGCCGCCTCCACACTGAACAGCCCTTCAGCATCCTGGGTGTGAGCCTCTGAGAACGCCAGGAACTTCTCTCCACTGAGGTCTCTCCACTGCACCTGGGGCTTCGGGAACCACCCCGAGGCTGTGCACACCACGCGGACCCCATCTTCCTCAGGCCCTGTGATGCGCACCTGAGGGGCAGAGCCCACACCTGCAGGAGGCAAGATGTAGAGCCCAGGGACCCAGCAGTGCCTACGTGTGCACAACTCTGGGGGGTGCCCTACACTTGGCATTCTGGGGACTCTGGGGGCAGACTGCTCCCACAGGGAACAAGGAGGCGGCCCTGTCTCAGGGAACAGAAGAAAGAAGCACGGGGACCATAGGCCCAGAGAGCTAAGTCCCTTCTCCCTAGTCATGCAGTTGAAAGGGCTGATGCCATGTAAACAGAGGGAAGAAGGTGGTCCCAGGTCCACCCTTATCCTTGACTTTCCTCACATCACACTCTCTCCCGGGGCATCTGCTTCCACACCCACTGCCTCTCTTTGTAAATCACCACCAAAATTAAGTCATCTAACAATCCTATGTCCTGAACTTCCCTTCCTTTTATCCACAGGTTTACCTCTACCCAAATTCCTCACATATACTTCCAACTCATAGTTCTAGAACTGAATATGTGATTTGGCTCCACCCGTGATGGATTCTGTATAAAAATATTTCCAACTCTTCACTCCTCTTTATATCCAGCTCACTGTCTGCCACAGCTTTTGGTGCCTCCACACTCTGCCTCTGGGCCAGTCCTGTGACTCAATTAGCCAATAAGAGATTAGGTCATGTGACTAGGTTGTAAAGTCCTGTGTCCTTGGGCTGCTCTCCACCAGGGGGAGGACATGTTTGCTCTAGTTTCAGCCTTTCCTGCTGAAACTTTCCTAGATCCATCACTAGCCAGTTGAACAAACCCACATGAACAGACCCAGCAAAGGTTCTTATGTGACATCCTCAGCTGACTGAAATGTCAAATAAGAATTCAAAATAACAGGCTTCATTCTCCCTGTTGAAAATAAGGGAAGAGATTCCCCTTCCCTTGTTTTTCTTAGAATATTTACTTGAGAAAACCTGTAATTGTATGTATTTTCTCCCCTGTGTTAAACATATATAAATCCTTTTTGAGAACTAGACAAGAATTTTGACCCAGGAATGTCTTTCACTAGGACCTAGGAGCCATTCATAAAGTTCAAGGGAAACAGCACCCCACTTTCCCCTTCCCTGTGGGAGGGTAGGAGCCCAATTCCAGCCTTCACCAAGCTACAAGGTGTAAAATACCTCCTGTCATAAAAACATAAGAATTTGTTTTTCCTCCAGCTTAAACCAATTAGCTAACACAGATGGTCACCTTAATTACTAGGAAAATTTAGAGTAAACTGTGTGACAGATGGTGCTATCAAGTCCTCCAACATGAGGAATAGTTATTGTTCATCTTAAAAGCAAGTATATAATGGGTTGTATCTGCTTGGCTTTATAAAAGGGGGCAGATATCTTTCTGTCTTTGCAATCTCTTATAGATTGCCTGTGATGTCTATCACATTCTGGTTGAACGCCCATTCAGTAATAAAACTGTGTTCTTTCTCCACTAACTGTGAAGATGATTTCTGGTTTGGGAAATTTTGTTTTTGTTTTGTACCCAACATGACCAAAGAAGTATGAATAAACCCAGATAAGATTAGTCAAATACAGCCCAAACTAGCTGTACTCCCTTCATGCCTGAATTAAATAAATGGATATTGTTATACACCACTATGATCTTTGTGACTGTTTATTACACAGCATTATTTTGAAAACAGATAACTAACATACATAAAGCAAAGAATCTTGCCCACCATCCAATTCTACAAGAATCAAGTCATTAACCTCTCAGTCACTCACTAACAGTACACTCTGAAAGGAATTCAGGGTGAAAATAGGGCAAGGCACTCTGTGCTTTGGAAAAACAGGCCCCTTAGTTATTTAGAGATGTCTCAGGAAAAAAATATTTAATTAACTTAGATTCTTGCATCTTCCTAGAAAAGTGTTAACATCATTAAGTGAGATATCTGATCCTTGTGACAAACAGTAACCTTTTACCGAAGCGTATGCTTGACTTCTGGGCTTCCCCAGTGGCTCAGCAGTAAAGAATCTACCTGCAGTGTAGGAACAACAGGAGACTTGGGTTCGATCCCTGGGTTGGGAAGATCCCCTGGAGAAGGAAATGGCAACCCACTCCAGTATTCTTACCTGGAGAATCCCATGGCCAGAGGAGCCTGGTGGGCTACAAGCTCATGGGGTCGCAGAGTCGGACACGAATGAAGCCACTTAGCATACTGAGCATGCTTGACTGCACCTATTCCCTAGCCAAAACCTGTATAAACTGGCTTATCCCCCTACCTCATTGGAGCAGTTTCTCAGAGCTACTGAGAAGCTATTTCCTGGATTATATACCCCTCAGTAAGACCCTGAATAAAACACAGCTCACAGTTCTTAAGTTGTGTGTTTTTCTTCAATCAACACACATAATTTTCAATATTCTTACCACTAAACAACAAACAGCCAATGCAAAACCCTCGGAGTTTCTGCAGTCTACTCTTCCCCCAAACTCTGTGTCCCCAAATCCACACACTTAGCTTGCTCTACTTTCTAAGCATCACAAATGTCTGGTCCCCTCGTCCCTCTATGTGATCCCATTGCCTTTTCTGGGGGTCATCCTGTGGACCTCATAACTGCATCCATGCCTTCAGCCTGGCTCACCTTTCATCCACCCTCTTCACAACTGACCAAAGAAATGTCCCAGGCACTGCTCTGTTTAAAATTTCTGTAGTGGTGCATCAACACCCATAGCACAGCTTGCAAAGTCTTCTACAACCTAGCATCTACCTTGCCCTTCAAATTCCTCTCCTCTTCCCTCCAGCTTCCACTGACTGTACCTCTAAAGGACCATACATTGCAGCCCCAAAGGACTCTGGTTAACTGCTAACAACTGCAATCACCACACTCTATCTCCTCTCTTCTCTCCTCCTCTCCTTTCTTTTCCTCTCCCCTGACTTCTCATGTTCCAGTCCATCAACCTCAAGGGCTCTTTGCAGCCTGATCTAGTGAGCTCAGGTGCCCCTTTCAGTGTATATTACCTGCAAAATTCTCCTGACCACCAGAGAGAGCATTAATCAATCCCTTCTGTGTGCACCCCATGCCAAGAACATATCTTTATTCAATTGTTGTCATCTCTTACAACCCTCCATTTACTCATCTTATCAACCACGAGGGCTTCCTGCTCCAGCCATCTTCCTCTAGTCACACTCCTCCTCCAGCTACACTCCTGCCTCAGGGTTTCACGCCAGATGTTTCCTCTGCTGGGAACTCTGGTCCCACAGATATCTACGTGGCTAAATCCCTACTTCCTTTGAGATTATGCTCAAATTGTCAAAAAATCCCAACCTGAGGCCCCACATAAAACAAGCCCACCCCACCCCCATCCTGGTCCCCTTCCACTGTTACATTTGCCATTTTATCTTAAGTATTAATACTTGCTGCTGCTGCTGCTAAGTCTCTTCAGTCGTGTCCGACTCTGTGTGACCCCATAGATGGCAGCCCACCAGGCTCCGCAGTCCCTGGGATTCTCCAGGCAAGAACAATGGACTTACCACCTCCTAATTTCCTCTATAACCTATTTATCAAAGTATTTATGTACTGTCTCTAGAATATAAACTCCACAGAACAGGGAACATTGTTTGGTTCATTGATGTATCCCAGGTGCCCAGAACAGGATGTGACATAGAGTAGGGTTTCAATATGTTTGTACCAAATAATGGAATGAGTGGATGAGCCTCCTATCCATATCTATAAAATGAGGGATTGATTGCCATTATCCCTAAAGTTCGTCCCATCTCCAATACTCCAGGATCAAAAATATCAAGCCACCAACCTGCCACCTTCAGCTCCAAATTGGCCTCTTCATAGAAGCCTCCCTTTCTGAAGAAGCAGGTGTACAGCCCATTGTCAGAAACTGTGACATTCTGGATACGCACAGCAGCTTCTCCCTGGTTGAGGAGGTCCCTCACCAGAGAGGTCCGCCCTGTGTAAGCAGCCATCTGCTCCTCTTTCTGCTCAAATCGGTCTTGATAGATGAACACAGCTTCTGAAAACTTGGAGCGGAACCATCTCAGCTCCATGTCTTCGGCACTCATGGCTGGAGATACACGACAGGGTAGCAGGACTTCCCCACCCAGCACTGCCACAACGGGGTCCGGGGGGGCGATCACACTGAACTCCTCTGTGGACACAGACACAGGAGGGAGAGAGGAGGAGACACAGAGGGAGGGCAGAACACACGCTCAGTTTGATGGCAAGACCTAGGCAGGCTGAGGACAGGTGTCGGGTGGGATGAACCCTGACCTGATAGGATGAGCTGTGATGATTCTGAATTTGAGCTAGACTGATGATAATTTTGTGACTCAGAAAAGATATCAAAGAGAGTCCCTCATCCATCTGTATTGCTGTCTTCGCACCCTTCCATGGAAAATTCTAATTCAATGGTTTCCACCTTCAGCATGCAGCAAAATCAGCAAGAGGGCTTATAAAACCACAGTGTTGGGCCAAACACCCCCAGAGATTCAGTAAGGTCTGGAGTGGGCCCAAGGATGTGCATTTCTAAACAATTCCCCAAGATGCTGGTACTGATGTTCCAGGGGCGTCACTTGGAAAAGCACAGCTCTATCCTGCCCCTCTTGGGCAGGACTGAACCCGGACCAAAGAGAATACCTGTGGTCAAAGTCAAAACTCCTTGATCATTCAGTCACATCCTATTATAGCCACACTATTTTATTCCAGAGCTAAATTTATCTGTGTTCATGACTTTCTCCCCGGCTCAAACGTGTGCTAAAAACTAGACACAAATATTGTTTCCATTAAAAGCCTACCTTCACTTTTTTTCACCCACAAGTGCCCATATTCACCCCACTGACATCTTCTCAGAGCCTTTGGCCTTCTGAGGCCTGGAGGATGGGCCACGACCTGACCCTTGTGCAGGACGGCCTTGCTGGATCTACAAAGAATGACTCCTCAGCTCCTGAGCTGCTCAGAGCTGATCTGAGTCACCATGGTCTCTCACCTGGAGGACAACAGTACACTGGGCTCCCTGGGTCTCCTCTCCTCACTTCCAAGTCTGCAATTCTTTCCACCTGCAAACCATGTCCCTACTCTACTCAAAGCTTTGCCGAGTCTCCTCAGTCCCTTCAGTAGACCAAAGGCCCAATGGGGATGACCCCCAGGGCTTCTGGACACAAGCTCCTACTTCTCACCCTCTCCTTCACTTTGCTCTAGCCAAGACTTTCCTCCACAGTCTCTTGAACATTCCAGGCCCACAGGCAGCTTTGCACTGGTTGTTCTCTCTTGCAGAAGGCTTGCTTCCACCGGAACCCTCACAGGCTCACCCCCTCTTCCAGGTTTTATTCTTATCTCACTGTCTCACTGAACAGCTCACTGAACACTGCTGCCCACTTCCCACCTCCACATGCCTGACTGCCCTCTACCCCATGCTGCTTCACTGCTTCTCTCATTGCCTATAAAAAACTATTCATCATACTGCTTTCATGCCTTTATTATTTCATGCATTTATTTCATGCATTTATTATAGCCTCCCTGCTACATTGTAAGATTTTACAAAGACACGAATCTGCCTGGTTTGCTAATAAAAAGCACCTACCACATGTTCAACACTCTGTAAATATATGAGAAATGGAAAAAAATAGCTAATGAATATGTTAAGTAAAATAAAGATACTACCCAAAAAATGAGGTGAAAGATACTGTCACATATGTCATAGTTGAATTTTTATAACATCATAAACACCTCATTGGATAACTATCAAGGCATTTTTGATATTGCCTTGAGGCTTAAAGACTTATAACGTTATAGTCTTTATATTGAGGCTTAGTGAAGTCGCTCAGTCATGTCCAACTCTTTGCAACCCCATGGAATGTAGCCTACCATGCTCCACCATCCATGGGATTTTCCCAGGCAAGAGTACTGAAGTGAGTTGCCATTTCCTTCTCCAGAGGATCTTCCTGACCCAGGGATCAAACCCAGGTCTCCCCCATTATAAGCAGACGCTTTACCGTCTGAGCTACCAGGCTTAAAGACTCTCAAAAATTGAATGACAATTACTGGTTTGGGGAGCATCATAACTTTTTTAGAGAAGGGACTTCTCAAACAGCAACCCACTCCTGATGGAGAGAACCAGCCCAGCTCCCAGGAATCCACATAGGAAGAGGGGTGGGGTACACTCACGTGCGAAATCCCCAGTGGGCAGCTGCATGAAGAGGAGCAGGGAGGTGAGGTGGCAGAGCACAGAGCCGTGGAAGAAGTCCTCCATCTCAGAGCTGGGGAGACATAGGGCAGGAGGCAGACCCAGAGCTTTCCCAGAGCTCAGAGACCCGGGTGGGAAGGAGGGCTCGGGGCCAGAAACAGTCCTGCGGGAGCAGAGACCCCCCTGGATCCCTGTGCTGATGAGGTGCTGGGCTCCCCACACTCCGACACCCAGAAAGCACTGAGCCTGGGCTCCTCCCAGCCCTGGAGAAGCCTCTGTGGGGTCACAGCCACAAGGTTTACTTGGGAAAAATGCCCCCCTTCCCTTCCCACCGCAATGGCACCTGCAGCCCAGCCCACTCTGCCCAAAACACCAGGTGCTTCCTTTCCCAACACCAGGGGCCCAAGCTGGAACCATCCTGAATCTCGCCATTATTCACAACCACCAGCAACACCTGTCCACCAGTTACGGAGAGAGACCCAGATTCAGCTCCTCACTGTGAAATACAGGCCAGCTCCCACTTGGGGCCCCACAAACATCCTCCTCAAGGGGACTCTGGGTCCATCAGAGGCACCATGTGCTGCCTTTGCTGCTGGGTTAGTGCACCTGCACTTCAACCCCACCCAGCCCTTTCCTGCAGGGACCAAGGACATGGCCGGCTCCCAGGTGCCCAGTCAGTCCCCACAGACAGCTTAATCCTCATCCACACTGTCTTTGAAGAAGATTTCTGCATGGGGGTTGGACACCCCTGTGGAAACAGAGCAGCCGAGGAGAAAAAATGAGTCCTCATCAGAGAAAAGACCCCAAATGCCTTCCTGTCAAAGTTGGGGAGGAGGCACTTAGGGTCCTGGGAAGGACAGACTCTGGGGGCAGAGTGCTGAGTCCTCCCCCAAGGCTGTGGCCTTGTCTGTGTGATGACCTTAGTCAAGCTTCTTAATCTTCTGTGCCTGTTCCTTCATAAACAAATTGGGGATATTAACAGCATCTAGATCCCAAAGTTTTCATGAGAATCACAAGAATTAGAATCACTAGAGGGAATTAGAACAGAAGCGGATGCTATAGCAATAATACTAAAACAAATGAATGAAGGTACACCCCTCACTGTGGTGACCGTGGGTCTCCTTAGAGACCCTTAGACTCCTTAGAGCCACTCCACCATCCAGCACCACCCACCCTGCCCCCAGCCCCACCACCTGCTCAGCCTTCTCCTCAACCCTGATGCTTCCCGCTTGCTCTTCTTGCCCACAAGTGTCTTCAAAACCCACTTACCTGCTCTGAAAGGCCAGGACTTCAGAAGTGTCTCTAAACTCAGCATGAGAAGCAGCATGAGAAGGTTCAGGGACCCTGGCAGATCCCAAATCTGCCCTCAGAATTTGCACCTGAAGTTAGTCACTCAGATCCCCAATCCTGATCCAGATCCAAATCTGAGTTCCTCATGTCTGGGGGCAGGTGGTCTCAGGAGAGTGGAGAAGCAGCAGAGCCCGACCCAGGGGTATCTGCAGAGACCAGACTTTGGGACCCTCGGAAACGATCCCGGACAGCTCAGTCCGCCCTTCCCTGGTTCCTTCACTATTCGAAAGTGAAACCTGGATAAAGCAGTCCCAGCAGACTCTGCCCTGCCCTCTGGACAGTCACCCAGTTATCAAGAAGAAAACGGCCTGATCGGAGCAGCAACAAGAGAGTGGATTCAAGTAAAGCTGAAACCACCCTGAGGGGGACACATAGACACACAGACTCAATAACCATTCTCGACAAGTGCTCCACTCCAGGCTATGCGTGTGTGCTCAGTCACTCAGCTGTGTTTCACTCTTTGTGATCCCATGGGCTGTAACTTGTCAGGCTTCTCTGTCCATGGAATTTTCCAGGCAAGAATACTGCAATGGGTTGCCATTTCCTACACCAGGAGATCTTCCCAACCAAGCAATCAAACCCACATCACTTGGGTCTCCTGCATTGGCAGGCCGATTCTTTACTACTTCATCACCTGGGAAAACATACTCCAGGTTGGCAGCCTTCTAACCTCAGAAGTGGGGACTGTGTGCAGCACACAGTCTGCAGACTAACACCTAGGCCCCGCCTGATTCCATGTGGGCTAGTAAAGTGCACAGGGCACAGTCCCCAGCGTGGCTGCTTCCTTTTCTTCCCCAGCAGCTGACCCAGGAGCTCCCACAACCTGGCCCCCCAGGGACTAACCCCCAGGCTTCAGGTGTTTCCAGGACCAACTCCAGAACCTTGGCTGAATGGATAGTGCCCTAAGGCTTCTTAAGATTGTGTATCACCCATGGCCTGGGTACAGCCATTCAGACCCCCTTTCTGCCAGGCCCAGTGAACACCAGGAAAGGCCTGATTCTCTGCTCTCCAAAAAAAAAAAAAAAAAAAAAACCAACGGGACTGGCTCTTCCTCTCCAACTCATCCCTTACTAAATTTTCCTTACCTAGTAAAGGTCACCTGGGTTCAACCAGTTTTCTCTGCCGGAAACATGAAGGGCATCTTTCACATCCCATTCTCCCATAAAATGTGTTTCTAAAACATTCAAGATTTTTCACAAATTCACGTTAAGAGCCATCACATACTCTCATTTCCATGCTGACACAGAGTTTTCCTCATGGGTCTCCCGCCCCACCTCCAGCCTCATTCCCTCCAGGTCATTTTCCTTCCAATGTCATCATGCTCGCAGGTCAGTTTATGTCAACTTTATGCCTCACCCTTCAAGGGACCCCTCTGCTTCAACCTCTCCTCCGTGGCTCCCAGGCCTCCAACTTCCTGTCTGAACTCATCTCGTGCTTCTCCCAGCTGCCCCCTTCCTCACCAGCCACTGGATGATCCTGCCCTCCCCCTCCTCCCCGACATTCCTCACGGTCCACTGTACAGCTCTCACCTCAAATGACCTTGCTCAAGGCATGCTTTGCTGACCTTCTGACCCCCATTATGAGATCCATACACAAGCCTTTTGGGGTTTTGGTGGCACCCTGTCTCCTTCACAGCCCTGACCTGAGGAATGTCGAGGGAATTCAGGAGAGGAGGCACTCTTTCCCAGCATAAAGGAAGCACTCCATAAACAATGTTTGAGCTGACAGGCAGGAGTCTCTTCAATAGCACACAGGCTACTCAACCTCATCCAATTTCACAGAACACTCTAGTCCACAGAGAAACAGAAAGACTGCTAACTCTGAACTAATAGCGTCAGCCTGTGGAAGGCTACAACAGCCCCACCATCTGCCCATCTCTGCTTTCCTGTCTGCTGCTAAGTTGCTGATAAGTCTGTGCGGCACCAAAGATGGCAGCCCTCCAGGCTCCGCCATCCCTGAGATTGCCATTTCCTTCTCCAATGCGTGAAAGTGAAGTCGCTCAGTCACATCCAACTCTTCACAACCCCATGAACTGCAGCCTACCAGGCTCCTCCGTCCATGGGATTTTCCAGGCAAGAGTACTGGAATAGGGTGCCATTGCCTTCTCCAGCTTTTCTGTCTACCCCAGACATAAAAAGACCACTAGTTACAGCCATGGACTGGCAACACCAGGTTCAACCAACACTAATGCTCCCTCAGGGTTTCCCTGGTAATTCAGATGGTAAAGAGTCTGCCTGCAGAGTGAGAGGCTGTGTTCAGATCCCCTAAAGGAGAGCATGGCGACGCACTCCAGTGTTCTTAACTGGAGAATCCCATGGACAGAGGAGCCTGGCAGGCTACAGCCCATGAGGTCACAAAGAGTCGGACACAACTGACTGGCTAAGCACACACAAACATAATGCCCCCTCAAGCCTGCCAGTGTCCCAGTGTCAGTGGTTCAGGTCTGAAGTGACTTGGGCTGGTGTCTTTCCCTCCTCATCTCTGCCTGGTGGTTGTCACTATTGTCTTCATTCTACAGATGAGAAAACCAGACCTCACAGATTCACAACCACACACTCAGAAAATCTCTCTCAGCCTGTGTTCACTCTGGGTTGTTCTGAATGACCCATTATATTTGTCTCCGCAGAGTAAGGACTCGCAGACCCGCAAAGCCACAAATTGTTGATTAGTGCCCACAAATCTGGTCTGAGGTGTTACAGCTCTGGGCAAACCCAGAGCATCAGGGTATACCTGAACACATCCCACTTTGTCTTCCCCAAAAGGTCCACTCCCTCTAATATCCACCTGGACTCAGGAATATTTGGAATATTTATATTAACCGCAGGAGATCTAACGAGACAAGTTCAAAAATTAGCCTCCAGGGCCCCCTTAATCTCTATCCCCCACTTACTCACCACCAATGCCTTCACCATGAGGAGACTTTTTAAGGTCTCAGAAACATTAGGTGAATTTTATGACAACCGTATTTTATTGAATACTTCCTATGTGTCAAGAACCGACCCACACAAATTCCATTTATGCTACTTCATTCTCACACGTGCAGACAGACATGAAGTAAGACATGAGTGCTGCCATCGAGGACACTTAGTCCAAATCCCTCATAGAGGAGGGAAGGGTTAGAGAGGCAGGGAGACTGCCTCCTCAATCCTCCCCCAGCCCTCAAACCCAGCCCAGCCCACCCCAGCTCCACACGACTCCACAGGAAGCAGGAACAAGCAGGGACCTTGGACTCACACACGCCCCAAGATGATCTGATCAGAAAGCTTATCTCACCCTGAATGCCAGCCCTTTGAGTCCACACTGGGAGGAGAGAGGGGCGGGAATGACAAAGTACAGGAAAGATTTTTCTGAAAGTACACTGGAAGGACACTTGAACACATTGTCAAGGTGGACAAAAACAGCCAACTTCACCAACCTCCCCCACCACCCCAGGCACCAGGGTCATGTGCCAGCTGCTTCTTGCTCACTCGCCACAAAAGACTTTTCTTTCTCAAAATATAAATTATCCTAATGCTAACAGTGTTAATATTTAACAGTCATAGTATCCCTTATCTTTCATTCACTTCAAGAGCTTTCAAAACAGTTTCAGAAAATTCCTAATCCATAAAACCATAGTGATATAAAATGAATTGTGATTTTCTAAATGTTACAGTAGATGAAAAGAATTAAACTCCTGTTTTAAATAATATGCAATCTGGGAAAGCTTATTATCCTTG